CGTCTAACCACGTTTCCGCATTGGCAAACAACAATGAGTAGTTCCCCTCAATAATTCTATGTTCGGCTTTCACTGTCAGTGTACTGGAACTAACTCCAAGTTTCGTTGCCGCATTCACCTAATCCTCAATTAGCGCAACTAGCGGTGAAATTACCAGTATTATTGGGTTTGGATCTAACCCTAGTTCTTTGATGACAAGTGGAAGAATTTGGAAAATAAGCGATTTTCCGAAACCAGTCGGCAAAAAAGCGACAGTATCTTTCCTGTTACATATAGCTTCAATTGCGGACAATTGTTCTTCTTTGATAGAGTTGATGCCATCGATGTGTTTTAAGACACTGTCCACTGCTGACGCGACAATTTCCTTAGAAATCATTTTGATTTGATTTATGGATGGCGAGCACCAACACTCCGATCCGATGAACTAATCAAAACTAAAATGGCGCGTGTCACGTGACTTTGTTTACTAAAGATAGCGTGGGCGTTTGATTGACACTCAACTCATTAGTATTCCACCAATCACAGCTACATCTACTTTCTGGATGTGCGCAGTCAAATTGTATAGGAGACAAGCTGGAGTCTCGTGTGGCGATAGCGATAACACCGGGACGAATGGTCTGGGGTAATATTTATGATGTAAACAATTTTGACCTTGTGATCGTGAATCCAAGATGGCGTCACCCACGTAAGATCCAGCGAGCGTGAACTTCCCACTCGGATCGCATATCGTGCTCAGATTCGGATGAATTAAGTGAAGCATAATTGAAAATAATATATTTATCAAGAAATCAGGAATTTTATGTGGTATAACAATGGCGACAATTCATAATTCAGACCTCCGTTGTCTCGAATTGTTCACAATTGTGTTGAACAGACAACATCGATGATTAAAAAAAATACATAAAGAGGGATAGTTTCAGCCAGAAAAATTATTATTGCTCGAACATAGTAGCGTAAGTATTGTGACTCGTAACAGTTGTTGTACTTAACCGGAAAACAACAGAAACTGAAGACAAGCAATGAGAATAATCAACCCCATGTTTAATTTACCGGGACTGAACAGGGTTTTATAAAGTTGCTGATTGCTGGGCCAAGCAAAGAAACAGAAAACTCAGTATTTCTGCAGGACATTTGCAATACTAAACATGCAGTGCAATATACAGATTGTACATAAAATAAATAGAACAAGCAGCCTGTCGGCTGAGATAGCTCCGCTGTTAGCAATGCACATTTCAATTAAAGAACTGAAGATATCATTGGAAAAATGAACAATATGTATAGTATCAAAGCAAAGGACCTTGGTGTTTT